TTATTTACAATTAAGTCTATCAATTGATAAATTTAACATCCTTTAACTTGATATTAATTATCAAAGCTGAGATACAAATTTGGCCATTCAATGAATCTTGTGATAATAAAAATTCATTAGAGATAATTTATGGATGAGTCATACAAAAAAATAATGTTTTGTGACTCATGATTAAAAATAGCAAATGAAAGAAACCATTGAAATAATGTTTAACAAGTTAATAAATTGCTAAACCCTATATAAATAGTTAAATTTTCATCTTTGTTAATTGGTGAAATTAGTTATATAAATTAATTCAAATGTAAAGATTCTTAAATCTACTTTATTTGTTTACATTTGCCCATTATTATAGGTTCCCATCACTAATGGATAATTTAGAAAGATATCTTACATTTTTTAAATAACCCAATGAATAAGATGATGTAAAGAATCAATGCATCAATGTAATGTAAGAGTGGATGATTCATCTTTACATCAGATATCATCATTGTGTTCATCATAGTGCTTATTTAGTGGTAAATATGTGTAATAAAGAACCAGGTTTTGCATAATGATTATGAAAAAAGTATGTAGATCTATCAAATATATTTAACTTTCACTTTTAACTTTCAAAATGGCCTTGGCATTGCACCTGTATGACCACCTCTGAAAAAATAATGATAAAGAAAGTAGAAAAATAGTAAACTTACTGACTCTATATCGACCGGTTTTGGGAAGGGGTTTCTCTTTTTCCTTGGCGGTGATATTCTAATCTCAGGAGCAACGTGAAACATGTTAAATTAAATATATTTCAGCTTATTTTCATTATTCCAATCAAGGTCAATTTTCAGCTGTCTGCTATAGACTGGATTTGGAATCGATAGCCAGTCCGTACTTGGACGAGTTCGATTGCAAACTCTGAGCACTACAGGGGAGATCACAAACTCCTCGCAGCGGTTACTTCGCTTTATAAGTACACTAAAGCCGAAGCATTAAGGGGAGATCACTGTGTGGAGATTGGAGATCACTGCTTGAGTGGTTCAAGGTACGACACCACTATTTATGTAATTAAAACCTTTGAAACCAAAAGAAAAACAATAAACTTAGGTACAAAAATGTTACCAGCTGTATTATGTCATCATTTAAATTGCAATAATGGTTTTATGATGCTGCAATATTACGTTTTCACTTTAAAAACAACTAAATTTTTTTATTGATCAGTATCTTTAAATATTCAAATGATCTTTACCTTTGTAATGCAAAATTATGTTTGCAAACATTTAAATAGCGCAAAGAACATTTGGAATTATAGACGTATGCACACATTGTATCAGACAATTATGATTTTTCTACAAAAATGAGTAGGCCTAATTTTAATGCTGTTCTGTTTTACAATTTAAAATATACAGTATATATAGCCTGAAGCCGTAAATTTTGATTAAAAAATATATTTTTGAAATCATAAAAAAAGCTATATATCTGGATAAAAACATGTACACTTCATACTATTATTGTATGATGACGATGTGGCTTATTAGGTATGTAGACCTAGCTTTTAGCTAATGTTTCTTCCACCAGCGTACACCTCTACTGAACACTAAGATACAAATAACTGCCCATTGAGGTGTCCAAAACATAGAATTTTCAGATCTTTTCTTACACACATGGCAATTTATGCAAATTACAACTCTGGACTTACTATAAACGTATTATTGTATCCATATCTATGCTTTTTCACTAAACTTCTTTTTTTTACTTTTGCCAGAGATGTACTGGTTGGGGACCACCAAAACTGGACAACCACCAAAACCGGACGGCCAAGAAAATGCTTAATTTAGTATTTTCTTTGTTCAGTGGTTGTCAGTCACTTTAATTTTTATCAACAATAAGTGCATGTTTCTTTTAAAATTAAGTAAATGAATTTATTTCAACCTCTGTAAATGGTAATATTTTAATGTCTATTTCAAGAATGTTAACATTGAAATTCGGGGGTCAAGAAAGCAATGCCTGACCTCATATACCAGCTATAATCATTTGCAGAGTGAATAATAGAATATCTAAAACTTCAGCATTTGTTGCTGACATATTGTATATCATGTTACAAATCAAAAATCAAAACACCCAGGCTTTTATCTGAATTAAATCACATCATGTACATATCTGTCCAGACACATGGTACTGTAGTGTAGACAATTTAGGTAATTTTGATACCCTCCTTGTCGAGCCTTAGATATAAGTGTCAATACAATCAGAAATAAACAAACTAGTTTATTAGTTAGAACACGGATTTATATTACAGGGATCGGACACTCCCAGTTAACCCTATATAAATGCTTAAATATCTTGTCGTGCACCCGATAAAGGTACATCGATCGATAATTTATCGGCGCTAAGCGAAAATGCCCGTTCGCAACGGATACCTACTTTACAAAATACCATATAGCTTTTCCATTTATTATCCGATTTTTGAAATTTAAAGTTTATTTTCAAGAAAAATGCTTGTTTAATTCAAATATCTAATTTATTTTTTGAAGATATAGACTATCTGTCTGCAACGACGATTAAGAAATTAACTTGACGAAGTCCGCGGTAAATTTACATTTTTTTTTATATAAAAAGCAGATATTTGAAATTTATTATTACGGTAACATAATAAATTCAATTTCAAAATAAAAAAGAAGCCGATGGAAGTTATTCACAGTTGATCAAAGATGCAATATTTAAGATTTATTTGTGTATGTAGTCAAATTAATTGACGCACAATTGTTTTACGGGTAATGTATTGCGGGCTTTACAATTCGCTCAACACGTAAAGTAAATTTATTCATTTTTTTAAAAACAAGATATTGCTGATATTGTCAATACATGTATTGCCATTTTCATAGGATATTTAAATTTTCTTCATCATTTATATCATTATTATTTTTTGTAAATCTGTTTTCAAATGTCGGTGCAGTGAAGTAGACAATCATCGTAACAGTAAAGTACTCTCGTGTGGCTGTCTCGATTCCGGCCTTTTAATGTCACTCGTATATTTTAATTATTTCACTCGTATATTTTAATTATTCTTTTTATTTGAATGCCTGTAGAAAGATATTTCTGATATTTTTAATGTAACGCTAAAAAAAAAACAATAAAAATCTTTACAGTTTGAGTCAGTATTATGCGAAATAAAAGTAACTGTTTGAAGTTTAATTACTTTTGAAGGGGGTTAATTACCAGGTAACAAGTGATAATTGAAAAACTTTGTTTTCAAACTTTCGTTATCAGGTCACATGTGATAATTTCAACACCCAATCTTTAAAAACAAATACAAATTGAATGTATATGTTGTATGTGCGCGGTCTTTAACTACAGTCCATGGCATGTGTGGTAAAAAAATGATTCTGAATAGGATACATATAAATACAATGTAAATCTAATTTCTTTATTAACATTTATAAATGAAATTGAAAATAAACAACTTAATTTGTATAGTCCTTTCTTTGGAAAATAATGAAAATAAACATATGACAAATAAATCATTTGACGTGAATTGTGAAGGATAACTATGAAAAAAATATGTTTCAAAAAAATAAAAATATATAAAACAGCTGTTCTGTATGCCAATAAAAGTTTCTTCCTTGCCAATCTAATGAATTCATTTATATATGAACGAATGTCTAGAATGATCTGAAAATATATTTAATACACTAATTAGTAGAATATTTACTATATTTATACTAATATACAGGTAGATCAAATAAAACATGTACAAATCATTTGGAAATAATTCACAGAAATAAAGACACATTTCAAACATGAATTTCTTTAAAAGTATTTTAGCAATCAGGAAACATTATTTTTGCAATGCCACTATTAAACCATGTAAAAAATAATTATCTTAATCTGAATCGCGGTAATAATCTATGCTTGACGTAAAAGGGCGTCAAAGTGTAGAGAGTATGCCTAAACAATAGGCGAATATTTTTTAAATTAGGTACTTTTTAACTAAGCGTTGCAGCGTTCTGTCGGCATATTTTCATATATTAATACTTTAGCTGCACAAAACAATATTGTATCAATACATTCATATGTGTATAATTTTTCACAGAGCTGCAATAACACCACATACTCTTGTATAAATGTGTCATATTTCACACTCCGCGCGTTCCGCCATCTCATTCTGTCCACCGTTATCCGATTCCGCGCATGCGCGCGACGGGACTTTAAGCTAAACGAAAGTGTCCGATCCTTGTAATATAAATCCGTGGTTAGAAGTAGAACCTAGCTGACTTCTCCAAATCCCTCCAGAGGCGTGCACGTCGCGGAGAAGGCACACGGCAGGTCAAGGTCAAGTCATCTCAAGTACCAGAGGTGATTGGTTGACCTGTCGTGACTAACTCTGGAGGGTGGCGCTAACAAGAGCCGTTTTATGTCAACCGCCTGTTTGCAGCCGTCACGGAACTTGATGCTTTTCCGGTATTGTCTTTCCTCCACCGAACGAAGAACAGGACTTAGGAAGATCGGCATGAAAAAGACGTCCCCGATGAGACTACTAGAGTGGACCGGCATGGACGCTGAGATCTCGGACATATGGAATTTCCGGCGCCGAGCTAAAATAAACCGAAAAACAAACAAACAAACCTAGCTGAACTGTGTCAAATTTTTTGGTCTCTAGGTTTAAAATTATGAAATATGTACGGACAAATGTTCCAAAAGTGTCCGGTTGATGGTCTCCGACCAGATAACGCGTATATCTGAAAGATGTTTTTATTGATCAGTATCTTTAAATATTCAAATTATCTTTACCTTTGTAATGCAAAACAGTTCACACCTAGATCTATGTGAAAATATATTTCTCTGCTTTTGCTAGACTTTTTAGAATTTAACGATTTTCAAATTCAAAGATTGAAAGAGAGCCATATAACTGACTCGTTAAACAGAAGCATAAAATACTGCAGCATATATGTTTGTTTCTCCCCAAAAAACCTAAGGTTTAAAACTACAAAATTATATCGCAGTGTTCTATCACCAATCGAACTCACCTAACGAAGACTACAACAATGCATCAGAAAAATGTCTGCGCCCATGTACAGTAGTTTTCAAGTAATTTGGGCATATTTTTGATTGTTTCTTACAGTTCTCTTTGTATTTTGCAAGATGGTTGAAATAAACGAACTAGTGACAGTAACAAGGTAACGTAACATTGTAACATACCTGTGAAAAATCTGTTGAACTATCGTTTTATGCTCTACAACAGACAGGCAGACATAAAACTGTAAAAAGTTAAAAAATCATAAATGTGAAGTTTTTTCTTCAACTTTAGACAATTCGGGCAATTGATTTTGAAACCCTTTTCAAATATGAGTATGATGATAAATACTAAATAATATGAAATTAGGCAAAGCCTATGAACGGGGAAGTCAGTTAAAAAATCATATATTTTTCCGTTTTAAATGTGTCATTCGGTATTTCATGCACCACTTCCGTTTTCACTCGGAACACTCGATGATTATTATTAATCCGAAAAGTTGCGATTGCCTGTTATTGGAATACCTCACCTTTTATCATTGAATTACATTGTAAATGGCGGCGCCCAACTAAAACTGACACTGAAAATTTCATTGATAGGTATAGAATTCTATATATTTTTTAATTGTTTTTTATTTGTTTTTCTTTTAAATATACACGTGTAGTCTACAGCCGGGCAAGCCAAAGCCCGGGCCCGCTTCGCGGTCCCGGCCTTTGACTTCCCCGTATAAACATAGAAATACAACTACATTAACCTACAACTTCCATTGGAATCTGGTAGAATGATTTACACAGTTACAGTTTTAGGTCTAAGTGGATTTAGGTCTACAATGGACACATTTTTCAATAAGTATATCAAGTATTGATAGAAAAAAATAGAAATATATCATTTGAATACTCTTTCAAAATATTTCTGGAACAAATGATAATATGAAAAAGCCAGCTCGATTTTCTTTTATCGATTTTCTTTTACCATAAAATACTTTAAAATAATCGTTCATTTTTATTTTACATTTTCCGTTTTTAAAATTGTCATTCGGTATTTTATACACTGCTTCCGTTTATTCTAGTTCCCCCTTTCTATTATGGTTCTCATATAAGTGCGCAGGACACCAGTCTACGCTTCCGTTTTCAATCAGAGAACATCGGCTTTTATCGTTATCTTGTAATTCGAAAAGTTGTGATGTGTCAATTCAGTACTTTGGACGAAAGTTTTCAAAACCATCACTATCTAGCAGGTACTCGCATTACCGTAAAGCTCGCTTTGCTTGTCGAGCTCGCTACTAAATACTTTCCAGGGTTCCCTCTGGGTCAAAATTAGTTTGCGCCACCAAATTCGCCAATCAGAAAAAGTTGGAGCCAATGGCTCCAAAGTTGGAGCCAATAATTCTGCAAGGGAGACATGCCTATCTTTGCTAAGATATGCTAGCAGTTATATATCATTATGATTACAAACACATATTTATAATAATTCATTTTATTACAGCTGCACATGTTTATTATCTAATATAGACAATACTATTATGTGGTTTTCAAATTCCATTTAAATAAATACACATGACGGCATAAATGTAATCAAAAACATCATGTTAAGTTAGTCATGGGAGGTCCTGTTTTCCACCGTTTTGCCAGTATAGCAGTTCTTCTCACAGGGTGGACTGGGCCAAGATCTTTCCCAGCCTCTACCCGACAATCTGGTGATCTACAAATACAAAATAATTAAAAAAAACAACATTACTATAAATTGACTTCATCTAAAAATCAAGGAGAACAAAAAATGAAATAGATACTAAGTATTTTTATGTTTATTTTAATAGGGTTTGCATGTGAATAGACACTTCAGCACTTTACATTCAGATATGAAAATATTAACATTGCAGTACAGTGACTTTAGATCAATCATTGGTGAAATTATTCTTTTAATTGTCATCCGATTTAATATTCAAACTGTAATTATTTTTAATCAGGTGACGAGTCAACTTTCCGAAAGTTCAATGTTTGTCAACATCACGGACGATCTTTCACTTCTCTGTTCGCTACTAACACCTGTTGACCACACATGTCAGAGAATGAAAGATGTAAATTGTTCCATTTAACACATTGACACTTTCAACTTCACATGTTCCCGAAGTGTCACACAATTGATGACATAATTGATTATACGGTACCTGATTATACAGTTTGATAAACAAACTAATAGCGCGTGACCTTTCACATTTGGGCCGCTTATGTAATTGACACGGCTGCTTATGACAATTAAGTGTACTAGTTGTTGGATGCTTTTATCTTACGTTGGCGCCAGTTAAATTCGCCAATTAAAGATTTTGTGCGCCAGAATTAATATATTGTCACATTTGGCGCCATTGGCGAGCGACAGCGGGAACCCGGCTTTCAACATAAAAAATATGAATAAGACAAAATCTCAAAGCCAACTCTTTGACAGACATTATAGTACATTATAATTTAAACCCATTGGGTATGAAGGTAAACAAACGTTTCACTATTGAGACTGTTCACACCTAGACGTTTGACTACCAAATGGGAGTAAACTGTCTTCAAGACATTTCACTCCCTTTTTATACCAAAATTATTCTGATACTTATTGATATACTTATATAGACCATAAATTTATCAAGAGCTGCCGGTAGGACAGCAACGCTTGACTATTCTTAGTGCTTGATATTAATTAAAAGAGCCTTGATAATGTAAAGTTTTCTAAGTGAACAAAAAGGCAAAAATTTAAATGAGACATTAAATTGGATTTCCCTTTGATAATGAAAATTAATTTGTTGACTTTCCCAATAAACATCTTAAAAAAAATGGGAGAAAAATGTCCATACTATTGACAACGTGGGAGTGAAATGTCTAGGTGTGAACAGTCTTGGGAGTGAAAGGTCTCAATAGTGAAATGTCTTGGGAGTGAAACGTCTGGCATTCAACCCATCGGCAGCTACTCATTTTATGTTTTCAAACATGTAGAACAATTTATTTTTTTTTGGGAGGGGGAGGGAACCAGGACAACTATGATCAATAGAACTTGACGAATTATTAAATAACAAGTAACAAAGCCTAAACCTTGCCCACTATTAGAGAGGCGGTTCTCCCTCAACCCTTAGCTCAACACAGACCCATCTATAGGCTGATGATGGGAACCAAATTCGGGAAGGGAACAAGAGGTATCACTTAAATACGCAACAGAGATTATTTTGGCGGAAATATTGTTTGCAAAGCAGGCAAAACGTGTGCAACATGTAATTCATGAAAATAATAAATATTAAATTTATAAAACAGATTAACTAAGTGAAAAAAAAGTATGTTTATTTTAAAACTATTCACAAATATTTGCAATAGGTTATTTTGAAGGATTCTGTGCCCGACGATTCTTCTCTTTTGCCTAGATTTTGTCCCATACCTAGATTCTAGGCAAATATGCAATCTTTTGTTAATTCAAGTAGTTTAGTCTTTTATAAATTTATAATAATCAATTTATTCATGACTATTATTTGATATTACAGACATATTTTCGCTATTTGTAAAATAACAGACAGTTCGTCCTCAAAATCATTTGAACATTTTGCAATTCGCACCAATATTTGAATGGACATATTCTCGGCACATATTGTCTTGAATTTATTTTAAGTTTACCAATCACTTCAATTTCTATTGTTATCCAATTTATTTTGCTTCGACCAGACGTTTCATTCTAGTGTCGCAACAGACAAACATTTCCGAATTTCAGACACATACCAAGAACATGGGGAGAAATTTGATTAGTGTTTCGGATATTCAACTGTTATAGAGAACGATTTTCAATTCTGATTTTGTACATTACCTGTGACTGTTCACATCATTTGGCGGCGTCTTTGATGTGCAGCATCAACATTTAACTTGTAAAAGATTGAAATATTTAAGATGATACATGATAATGTTAATATAACATTTTGGAAACTTTATAAAGTTTCATAAAACTTACGTATATCATATATGTACATTATAGTGGCATTTATAATACTTGTTTTGTCTTTCTACTGTTTGTTTACTATATTCCCTTTGATGGGCATAATGTCACTTTAATCTGGAGGTGTGATGCTTTAATCTCAAAGCACACAAAAATAACAAATTTTAAATAGTTTATACATGTATACAGGATCTATAGATCTTTCATTGGTTGCCATATAATATAAAAAAAATTCTATCAAGTTTGAAAAATTGGTGTAAGCTTTAAAACAATATTTATTATATATATTAATAAGTTATTCCAATACATGTATATGTTCTAGAAGTAATGGTGACACACTCATTGAACAGATTTTAGTCATTGCCATTTATGTTTTTCATGCCTTATGTTTTAAGGTTTCCAGATGGATTCAAGTTTGCTCTGATGATTCTGTATTTCCCAATCGGGGTGTTCCTCATTGTATGCAGAATTTTAATTGCCATACATACATACATTATTGTGTGTTTATTTCCGAGGGGTGCAGCTAGACGGTGAGTTAAACTAATTTTTGCTTTTATTCTCATTCATGGTTTACTACTACCCTAATATGCATGTACCTCTGAGAGTCTTTGTTCATTTGAACCTGCTGGAATCCAAAAGTAATTAGCCTTGGCCTCCAGTACAGAGCCAGGTCAGCTCCCACATCCATGACGAGGCTCTTAGCTATGGTTGATCAACTTCATAATCTGAAATTGATTTCCCAGAAATAAAATAACTGACTGTCCCAAAAATGGAAGACAGCGTTCATTTAAGAATTTCAGCAAGTGAAAAGTTAATACTACTAATGAACAGTTGAACTATTCTAAAATTCAAAGCCGAAGAATTTATTTATATTCGTGACAAACATTCAGTTTTAGAATAAGAATGCTTTCATGAGGTGAGATGTATCATTCTTTGAAATTTGCATATGATTGTTACTACACATACTAAGCTATAGATGCATTGACCTTCATTTAATGTCAGGACTCTCATTAGCATTTGAGATTGCGGCCAGGGTCCATGCAGGGAGGGGAAATTGTGCATGATTTTCAAATATTTTTCATTCAAGGGGAAATTTTAACAAGGAAAATTAATTCATTACAAACAAGCGAAAACAAGTTTGAGTTAACAAATTTATCAACAATAAGCTGCTGTCATGAAATATTTTGGTTATTTCTAATAAAACTGAATACATCTTTGATACTTTGTATAAAAATACAACTTAAAAAAAGTGATAACTGATCTATGGCCGTTGAATATTATTTTTGAGGGGGAATTTTTTCGGTTTCAGAGAGGAAAAAAACACACTATTTTACTGGGGGAATGGGGCCCATATTTGGCCCTAAATTTTACCAAATGAGAGCCTTGAATAAAATTATCCGTGTTAAAGTAAACTTAAAGATGAAGTTTGTTATGTTTAATAACATTGCGCAGTAATCAAAATAAGTTGTTAATTATGTTATATATCTTTGTAAAGCCACTTTTCATTGGATGATCATTACATTTATACAACCTATATACACTTCAGTTTATGAAGTAATTTTCATTTCACCTAAAATTATGGAATTTTATTGTACTATTTATTAATTCATTTGATTACATTTTGACAAATTATATGGTTGTGCATTCTTTTGCAATATTATCTTCACCAAGCGGCTTGGGTAATATTTGAATTTTGTATACTGTAAAAATGTTTATACATTATGTTTATATGTTTATAACTAGCTTTATTGTTTACAATTACTAGGAATGTTTATATTAATGAGTCATGCTTGTGGTAATACATTGTTACTTAAGTATGGATTCAGTACTTACAAGTTGTAGGATAACTTCGCCACTTAAACTAGCTAAACAAATAATTCATTAGGTTAGTTAAAGCTTTGTGTCAGAAATGTTGGAAGTACCACAGACTTAACAAGAGCTGTCGGTAGGACAGCAACGCTCGACTATTCTTAGTGCTTGATTGTAAAAAAAAATGCTTGATACAGTTACCTCCTCCTGTTTATAGGTTGGGGTAATGATGATGAACAAGTGTGCAAAGTTTCAAAGCGATATGTCAATGGACTTTGAAAAAATTTGAACTATTACAAAAACTTTAACATAAATTCTAAGTCGAAAAAGGGGCATAATTCTGTCAAAATGCTTGATAGAGTTACCTCCTCCTGTCTACAGGTTGGGGTCATGATGGTGAACAAGTGTGCAAAGTTTCAAAGCCATATGTCAATTGACTTTGAAAATATTTGAACTATTACAAAAACTTTAACATAAATTCTAAGTCGAAAAAGGGGCATTATTCTGTCAAAATGCTTGATAGAGTTACCTCCTCCTGTCTACAGGTTGGGGTCATGATGGTGAACAAGTGTGCAAAGTTTCAAAGCCATATGTCAATGGACTTTGAAAATATTTGAACTATTACAAAAACTTTAACATAAGTGGTTACGCCGACGCAGAGACGCCGACGCTCTGGTGACTGCAATAGCTCTACTTATTCTTATCGAATAGTCGAGCTAAAAATATTGACTATGTTATGTCAGAATTTATAAAACCATTTATAACACAGAATACAGATCTGTTGTAGAATAAAAAAAAAAACAGTAGGTCATATTTTTAGCTTGACTATTCGATAAGCATAAGTAGAGCTATTGCAGTCACCCGAGCGTCGGCGTCGGCGTAACCACTTATGTTAAAGTTTTTGTAATAGTTCAAATATTTTCAAAGTCCATTGACATATGGCTTTGAAACTTTGCACACTTGTTCACCATCATGACCCCAACCTGTAGACAGGAGGAGGTAACTCTATCAAGCATTTTGACAGAATAATACCCCTTTTTCGACTTAGAATTTACATTAAAGTTTTTGTAATAGTTCAAATATTTTCAAAGTCCATTGACATATGGCTTTGAAACTTTGCACACTTGTTCACCATCATGACCCCAACCTGTAGACAGGAGGAGGTAACTCTATCAAGCATTTTGACAGAATTATGCCCCTTTTTGACTTAGAATTTACGTTAAAGTTTTTGTAATAGTTCAAATATTTTCAAAGTCCATTGATATATGGCTTTGAAACTTTGCACACTTGTTCACCATCATGACCCCAACCTGTAGACATGAGGAGGTAACTCTATCAAGCATTTTGACAGAATCATGCCCCTTTTTTGACTTAGATTTTATGTTAAAGTTTCTGTAATACCTCAAATATTTTCAAAGTCCATAGACATATGGCTTTGAATCTTTGCACACGTGTTCACCATCATGACCCCAACCTGTAAACAGGAGGAGGTAACTGTATCAAGCATTTTTTTTACTATCAAGCACTCAGAATAGTCGAGCGTTGCTGTCCTACCGACAGCTCTTGTTATATTCTTAGAACCACAAATCTTTTGGAAATGTTTCTGAATAGGGCCCTCACATGACAGAAATCAACATCAATTTCAATATTGAATCTCAGCAACGTTTATCAGTCAGACAAGGTACATTGTGGAATCAAGTACAGTTTTCATTGATTTGAATGTATTTCAGGCAGTTTGTGCGTGGCATGTTAGGCGTGTTGGGTATTCATATTTGGGTAGAAGAAGATCCGAGCCCGCAGCAGGAGAGTCCAAAAGTTCTTGTAGCAAATTATACATCAGTCCTCGATCACATAGTCATTGATGTGGTCATCAGTCATTTTGTGGTAGGTTTGTTTACAGGAGAAAATTTACAGGACTTTGGAAAATATGACCTATGGCTATGTCCTTGGAACTGGAAATTTTAGCAGTGTTACGTTCAAAATTTGAAATTTTCATTTTGTTGCCCAGATCAAATATGATAAATAGTGTCCATATCTATTGATGAATATAGCTACACATTTTAAAACAATAACTTTCTTTGGCACATCAGAGTCTGTTTTGATTGGGGCATTGTCTAAGAATTTGTGAGAAAAGATATACATGTATATTAAGTAGGAAAATGATGAGTTATACTGAAGAAACTGGATTATTTCTGAATTTGAAATAATCTTAGAGGTCTATGAATTGCCGAACATGTGTCACACAGAAGCTAAGGTGTTTATCATGATTTTATGACCTGATAGTCCGATAGACCAGAATCTGTCCATTTATCTTGTGAAAGGAGACTCGGGTAAACAATAGAAAGTGACTTAGTTTATACAAATTTATTTTAGTTTGTGTCAGAAGCTATAAACTTATTTAAACACTCTTAAAGCCATTCCTGTAACCAACCAGTTCTAAGCAATGAGTGTAAAATATTCTAGCATAGGGAAACAACGTCTTGCCTCTTACAGGGTTTGAACCCATGTCGTCAAAAGTTCTTAGATTACTAGTCTGACATGTTAACCACTCAGTCATGTCACCAGTGGTCTTTATACAGGTTCAAATAAGGTTCAAATAAAGGTTTATTGTATTTAAATTACTAAGAATAGTCTAACAAACTAAAGTCACTAAAATGGCATTATATGCTTATAATGAAAGAATGAGGATAAAAAATTATTTTGGAGAATTAATTGAAAATAGAGATTCTTATGTCCAGAGAGAATATAAAAGTCATTTTATGCTGAGTACTAGAAAAATATATTTTTTCCAATGTTTTACAAATACTTCAAGCCTTATCACAGTAATGTACCAAAAGTGTTCCAGTGGTTGCTAGGTTACAAAGACCTTACATCTCCACAAGGAAAACAACAATTTCTAGAGAATGTGAAGAAGTTTGTACAAGGTGAGCTACTTTGAAATTTTTATTATAATTTTGATTTAAAATATATTTTAAGGTAATCATATATTAAATTTATGTAATTTTTATGCCCCCGTGCATACAGTAATTAAACCGTCCGTCCATCCAACTGTCATTTCAAGGGTCAAAGGCATGTATCAACACAATGTTCATGATCTGAGCAAGTTACATAACAATGGCTTCCATTTTTACCGAGTTATTGCCCTTTTCAGGACTTGGAAAATGAAAAATTGGTTAACCTTAAACGACAAGTTGAATATATATCTTAAAGTTCTATCTATACTAATAGCTTCATAATTACCACACTTACTTATCAATACAAAATACATGATATTGCCAAGTTATATAACTGTGCCATCCATTTTTAGCTCGACTATACGAAGTATATGGAGAGCTGTCCTACTCGCCCCGGCGTCCGCGTCCAGATTTTAGATTAAAGTTTTGGTGCAGTAAAATATTTTTCACTATAACTTTGTCATTTCTTAAGGTATCAACTTCAAACTTCAAATATATGTTCCTTATCATCAACCACATCTTGTGTGACAAGGTTCATAACTCTAGCACCAATATTTTCAGATTTATCTCCCCTTGAACTTAGAATTTTCCTTAAAAAAATACTCTTTTTTACTGATACTTCTTTATTTCTTAAGGGATCAACCTCATACTTCAAATATATGTACCTTATCATCATTCCCATCTTATGTGACAAGGTTCATAACTCCAGCACCAATATTTTTAGATTTATCTCCCCTTGAACTTAGAATTTTCCTCAAAAAATACTATTTCTTACTGTTTCTTCTTTATTTCTTAAGGGATCAACCTCATACTTCAAATATATTTACGTTATCATCATCCCCATCTTATATGACAAGGTTCATAACTCTAGCACAAATATTTTCAGATTTATCTCCCTTTGAACTTAGAATTTTCCATACAAAATATTATTTTTTACTGTAACTTATTTATTTCTAAAGGGATCAACTTCATACTTCAAATATATTTACGTTATCATCATCCACATCTTATGTGACAAGGTTCATAACTCTAGCCACCAATATTGCAAGAATTATCTCCCCATAAATTTAGATTTTATTTACTAGAAAAATGTTATTTTTATTTTAACTTTTTTATTTTAAAAGGTATCTACCTCAAACTTCAAATACTTATTCCTTATCATCAATTACATTTTATGTGACAATGTTCATAACTCTTGAAGCAATATTTACAGATTTATCTCTCTTTGAACTTAGATTTTCTTTAAGAAATATAATAACTTCTTTATTTTTTAAGGTATCTACTTCAAACTTCAAATATACATTTCTTATCATTACACAAATGTTGTGTGGCAAGGTCCATAACTCTAGCATGACTATTTCTAGAATTATTCCCCTTGATCTTGGAATTAATGTTAACAAAAGTTATTTTTTTACTATAACTTAATACATAATTATACATAATTGATTTTTCTTTCATAGTTTTGTCCTCCTTACTGTGTCCAGTATTTTATTAGTCGAGCTTCGCTGTCTCCTGTGACAGCTCTTGTTCCCAGTTATGTCCCTTTTTATCACCTTGAAATGGTTAACCTATTCCGCCAAGTTGGATTTATCTTAAATTTCACCTAATTACTTCATTTATTTAATGATGTTTTTCATATTTGGTAGGTGAATACCTTAAATGGTCCTCAAATTTTGTATGGAGAAAGGGTTCCCTAGGGTCATGGTCAAGGTCACTGGTGTTAAAAAACAAATTTAAACATTTTTGCTCATATAGCCTTTATTTTTAAGTTGATGTCATTCATGTTTAATTAATACATACAGCTAAGGGAGGTCCTCTTCCTTTGAGTTTAGTTAGGGGTCATTTGGGTCAAGGTCACCAATGTCAAAAATATATTTTTATACTTTTACATGTATATTAATTAACCTTATTCTATTGACAGATGTCTTCTATATTTGGTAGGAATGTAAAAAAAAAATTTCTTCTGATGGAGTTAGGGGTCAGTTGGGTCAAGGTCACCAGTGCTAAAAATAGATTTTTACACTTTTGCTCATACAGCGTTTATTTATTGACAGATATTTTTCATATTTGGTAGAATTTAACTTGCATAATATTCTTTCTTCTGATTGCGGTAGGGGTCAGTGGGTCAAGGTCACCAGTGCTAAAAATCGATTTTTTACACTTTTGCACATATAGCCTTTATTTATTGATAGAAGTATTTCATATTTAGTAAGAAGATAACTTAAATGGTATTCTTTCTTTGGATGGAATTAGGGGTCAGTTGGGTCAATGTCACCAGTGCTAAAATAGATTTTTACACTATTGCCCATACAGCCTTTATTTATTTGCAAATTAATTTCATATTTGGTAGGAAGATAACTTACATGATTGTCTTCTTCTTGATTGAGGTAGGGGTGAGTGGGTTAAGGTCAAGGATTCCGAAGATAGATTTCTACATATTTGCTTATACAGCCATTATTTTTTGACTGATGTTTTTTATATACTATGATATACTGATAAAAGCAACTATTGTTTATATTACAGAGCAAGAATTTCCTATTTTAATGCAGCCAGAAGGTGTTCCTACTAACAATAATCTCGGACTTCTCAAGTTTAACACACAAGCTTTTGAATTGGAATTACCTGTTCAGCCGGTATTTCATATACTTTTCATTTCATATTATTATATAACCTAGTCTGTTAGATTATAATTTGTTATATATAAGCATTTATATCATTCATATGGACATACACTTCCTTGACCTTTAACTTTTTCAACCTTTACTTATCTGATTCAGCATACCCAAAATGTGTAAAATATACCAAGATACCACTTGTACAACAAAATGTCTCTGTCTCTAGCATCTTATAAAGGGCCAAATTCTAAAAATAAGTCCTATTCAAGTTAATTCTTGCTTTAAGTTGAAACTTAATAATTTCAGCTATCTCTGGACAAAACCATTCATCACTTTCAGCACTGAGGATATTCTAGTGTGCTGTCTTGCGAATAGCTCTTGTTTTTTTGGGTTTTTTCAGAAAATTTTAATATTTGCAAACAGTGGAGACCATGATCAGACAGGGCAGATTTGCACTGGTAGCATTTGTAGAATCAGTTGCTTTATCATTATTGTATTGTGTTAATAATCTTAATGTTTTTGTTTATTTAAAATGAATGATATAATTACAGGTATCTGTTCATATGTCAAGACTGTCGTTTCCATGTGCATTGACAACTATAGATGGTCCTACATGGACTGACGTACTCTGGTGTTTCTTCACACCTGTAACTGTATTTAAACTAAAGTAAGTTATCATGAAGATTGATGATCCTTAATTTGTGACATATATGTGTCCCTCCCAAATGTAGGTTTAAATTCTTTCAGGGACTAAAGTCTTAGATTAAAGAAGATCCACTGAGGTCCAAACAAACTTAACACATAAAATTTGAAAATCTTACATAGATCAACTTGGGCACTTAAAACGGGAAATATGATAATGAAGAAATGTATTCAAAATTATATTGAAAATAAATATTAAGTCTGATTGTTAGGCCAATTTATTTTTCGTCACTTTATTCTTGACTCGAGTGAAACATTTTGTCGAATAATGCAAAAATGAACAGGTTGTATGTATGTCTTCATTTAATTGACCATGTTTTTATATGACAATTTACCCATGTTATGTAAAAGATATTTCATCATTATCAGAACACATCCTGTAATGAAGAAGGCAGAGGAAGAGACTGTGGAAGATTTCATTGAGAGAGTCCGGTCAGTTATAGCGGGTGCTTTAAACCTTGAGTTGACAGAATATACTGCCGCTGATATATATGAATATCGCAAAAAATTAAAATCGGTACCACAAGCTCAGCAAAGAGGTAAGGGGTGAAGCTTCTTTGTCGCTAAATTTGAGCCTCTATAATGGCTGAAAACTGTAGATTATAACCCAGCTTTCATGTGAATTAGTTATGATCATTCATTCAAGTGGAGTAACCATTTAGAGCCATAATAATGCTGGGAGAGTTATCTTTGGTATTCCTCGACCAGTAAAGCTGAAAGTTCCCATATGACTTAAAACTCAACAGATAGTTTCTTTCTTTCCATCTGTATTGACTGATAGAAATGTATATACATAGTGGTATTTTGGTAAAATTGGTTTCTTATCATTAAAGCTAAACAACCTGCTCAAACAAGCCAAAACATCACAGGTGGAAACAATTCAGGAAGTTGTTTTGATAGTGTTGATGCTGAGTTACGCAAAATGGTTCAACAAGTGAAGGATGTATTGCCACAAGTTCCTGTTACAGCTGTGAAAAAAGACTTGGGTAATGACTGTTACTATTATTATGTATTTGAATAATAAAGTGTGCATAGTGTTAAATGGGATTCACAATGGCTTGTGGTAAAAGTCCCTGACTGTGAAACCTTTGAAACTCTAGGCTGTGGGTAGAAATTCAGCTAAGGATTTAACATTTGAAAAAAAATTACTTGTTTACCTTGAGTGCCCACTTGTGCCTGAAATAATGCATGACTAGGCATCTTACATTGTATTCCACCAGTAAAGATGAAATGTCACAATGTGTTATAAATCTATGTGATCAAACATGACACTAAAAGGAAGGTAATGCAAAATGGTTAAATCAATCCCGGATATATCATTTTAGTTATAATAGTTTTACACTGATAATAATTGAAATTACACTGATTTTGTATCAATTGTTGTCTTATTTTAAGCAGTTTATGAGAAATATAAGTTAGTATTTATTTGTCATGTCTTATATAGAAATTGCAAGAGAAGGAAGTCGGGTCAGAAAACATTTTTTCTTGTGAAAAGAGCAATGAAATAAAAATGTATGTAAACATTGATTTTGTCCATGAGAGATAAGGAAAATTACAACGTTTAAACCATGACATATGCAAATTCATTAGAAGCACCTGTCAGATTCCAACTCACACACTCGAGCATTCAAATGCAAATGAACACATTACTCAAAAACATTTAGTTAAAGAAACCTTACATAATTGTCCAGAAGTTGTATTTATGGTAGTCGAGACAGGTGAAGTGTGCATGTAGTCACTTATAATACAAGATAAATTCATGTTTTGATGATGATTTATAGAGCTTACAAAAGATGTAGATGTTACAATATCTAACATATTAGAGGGGCGTGTTGTATACAGTGCTGAAACAGAGGAGACAGCAACTAGCCAGACACAGTCAACATCTTTATTACCTGATAAGGTGGGTGATTTGTTATTATTATATCTTGCTGCCAACATTTGCCACCTGTACATCCATGCAGTCTGACCCAGGATGTATATACTTGGTAGTCTAATCTTTAGCTTGACTAGTCAAAGAATAGAGAGAGCTATTGTACTCCCCCCGACGTCGGGGGGACGTATCAGGTTAAAAATTACACTGAGTATTGAGTGACAATTTACAGTTCTTGACCGTTCTAGATTGCAAGGATGACAATCTTATTTTACAAATACACAAATTTGTATAATGGACATGACCCACTTTGACTTCGGAACTGTGAATTGTTAATGTAGGGCGTTTCTATATTGAATAAGAGAAATGAGCAACTGACAGTATGGAGTTTGGTCAGACTTTATGAACTTGTGACCTTGTCAAACTCTGTACTGGTGTCAAACCGTCAATTAGTTATGACATTAAGCTAAAATAACTAGTACATGTAACATGTTTAGTCCAAATAATTTTCTTTGCTACATAAATTGCTGAAAGATTGATTAATTCAGAAATAGTTTCTGAGAGAATCATCTTTATCTTTAATTAAGTTAATAATAAAACAAAATCTAGACCATGTCTGCAAGGGTATTTTAATAAGTGAGTTAAAGGTATGGCACGGCCGAGTGGTTAACACTTCAGACTAGTACTCTAAGGATTGCTGGCCACATGGGTTCAAACCCTGTCAGGGTCAAGTTGTTGTTTTGGTGAGCAAGAAACTTAACACTCATTGCTTAGTGCTGGATGGTTCCAGGAACTGATTTGAGAGTGTTCCAATAAGCTTATAGCTCCCAACACAATCTAACAAATATAAATTTGTATAAACTAAACTAAAAGATATGGACATTTATGTTTGTTTTTACATTTCTTTTGCCTCAGTTGACATTGTTGTAGCTTGACATACATATGTGGCAAAAAAAGCAGACGACAAATTGTGTAAGTAAATTAAAACTGTTTATGTATGTTTCAAAAAAAGCAGAACGACAAAATTGTGTAAGTAAATTTATAACTGTTTATGTATGTTTTCAGAATACAACATTATTAAAGCTAGTTCATTTTCTCGGAATCCATCTGACCGACATTTATCTCTGGAAGACAGGAAGAAGTTGATGCTTGAAACGGCCCGACTTCGATATAAACAGAAACATGGCATGCTCTAGCAATAGTTATATGTATATAGTGGTATTAAATATTTATGTTTTTCACTAAGTCATATACATATTCATAAGAACAGAAAATTATTAGCGTGTAAAAGAAATGCTTAGGAAGAACTATTACAGTGTACACAACTGCAGATGAAAATTTATTTAGTGTTGTATTCTTCTTTGTGAAAATTTTGTCTCCTTGTTCCTTTATTAGATCTTCCCCCTCAAATTTTAAAAACTGATTTAAGAACTCATTTCAGTCGTGATTTTTTTTATTATGATTTTACAAGAGTTATGACAATTTTGAATAATTATCCAAAAATATTTGAGTGTATTTTAGAGACAAATTTTATAGCATTTGATCATTTTTGTTTTTATAGAACTTTTGAATATGTTTAAACTGGATAATTTCAGCATAATCAAGATATGAATTGTAAAAATGTAGGTTATTATTCTGAAGTGGAAGGTGTGCTGAAGTTTGTATTTTTTGTTTGCCTTTGTTACATATGAATATTGGGATATTCCTCCATGAAGGACCTGTGTGGCTGAGTGGCTAAGGTCACTGACTTTAATTTACTTGGATCTCTTAGGAGACATAGATTACTTTTAAGGCAAGATCAGTTGAATGAATTGTTTTTTTGCCAGAGATACATGTAATTGTTATGCTCAAGTAAACTATCAGTCTAAATTTACCGAAGGCCTGTTCCACTAGGGTGCCCGATCATTCCTGAAAAAGTGAAGTCTTCCTTTGCCAGAAAAAGCTGGAAAATCCCCATTTCATTTCAGCAGTATTGGCTTGATTTAAACCCAACCCCTATTCTTCTTGATGAGATTTTGTACCGATTCATTCCCTGAGCTAATATCAATAATTACACGGTAGTGCTTTATCTTATAACTTTGGGCATTTCACATTTAAATTTTAATTTATAAGTTTTCTCAAAATTTTTAAATAAGAGGGTATTTTATAAAAAAATGGCCTAATATAATTCGTTATTTTATAGAAAATTTTTTTAAAGAATTGTATACTAAATTTATAATTAAACAAAAAAAATTTTTAATTGGAACTTTTTTTTTTTCTGTTTAAATTACAGCCCGCAGATTTTTCTACTAAAATTTATGAAAATTTTAGGTTTAAACGTATCAATCTGAATTTCTTAGGGGGAAATTTTCTATTTTTAAAATCAATTTTTTTAGGGGTAAAAAAGAAAAAAGATTTGAAGGGGGTCAGCCACCATGTAGACATGAACAGGGCTACACAACTGGAGGCCAGTTTGCTGTTTCTAGTGGCAATGGTTAATTCTCAACAGGGTAACTAAAGGGCCCAAATTGTTAGAATATTGTCAAATAAATAAGTAAGTAATTTAAGCCAACAAAATGCAAAAAAAAAAAAAATTTTATAAATTTGATCAAATATGTAGAAAAAAATAGCCCACAATTTTGTTATGAAAAAGCACAGGAATATTATGACAAAAATATCCATTTGAGCGGCATCAATGACAAACCAACAATAAAGGGGTTTGCGACTGAGCATGGATCCATGCTGGTCGCTAAGACACTATGTTAGGTTTTGTCGTGACGCGGCTCATTTTATATTTGGCATGTGAAAACATTAAAGGCATGGTGAACATTTTATACATTTTTAAACTGAAGATTAACATTTCTCGGTCTGGAAGTTTGCAGTTTTAAAATGCCTACATATACAGTGGTAGAACTTTGGTACATCAAGGGTTGAAGTGGCTTCAGTAGGAAAAACTTTTGAAGACATTGGGACATAGGGTTAGCTTGTGTATTGGACTGAATTTTTTGAACAAAATTGTGTAAGAGAAATGGGTATTTGATAATTGCAAAAATGTTTTCCCTTTGGGCCAACACAGGTCAACAGTTTTTTAATTTTTAGCTCACCTGTCACAAAGTGACAGGGTGAGCTTTTTTGTGGAATCGGGCTTTTTTTCGTCCCGGCGTCCGTAAACTTTTACTATAAATGACATCTCCTCATAAACCCACTAAGGCCAATTTCCATCCAAAACTTCACAGGAATGTTTCCGTTTGGTGGTTTCACCTTTAAAAATTGGGTTTCCAAAAAGAATTTAATTCCAATGCAGAAACTCTGGGTTGCCATGGCAACCGAAAGAAAAAACTTTTAAAATATCTTCTTTTAAAAAACCCTAAGAGCTAGAGCTTAGATATTTGGCATGAAACATCTTCTAGTGAGTGTCTACCAAGGGTTTGGTTCAAAAATAAAAGCCCTGGGGTCAAAATTGGCCCCGCCCCAGGGGGGTCATTGATTTTCCCTATATGCATATAGTAAAAACTTAAAAAATCTTCTTTTAAAGAAACTCAAAAGAGCTAGAGCTAAAGATATTTAGCATCAAACATGTTCTAATAGGTGTCTACCAAGTTTGTTCAAAATAAAAGCCCTGGGGTCAAAATTGCCGGCCCCGCCCCGGGGGTCATTGATTTTCCTTATATGTGTATAGCAAAAACTTAAAAATCTTCTTTTGAAAAAACCAAAAATAGCTAGAGTTTAGATATTAAGCATGAAACATCTTTCTAGTAAGTGTCTACAAAGTTTGTTCAAATAAAAGCCCTGGGGTCCAAAACTGGCCCCGCCCCAGGGGTGTCATTGTTTTTTAACTATATGTGTATAGTAAAAACTTAAAAAAATCTTCTTTAAAAAGCCCAATGAGCTAGAGCTTAGATATTTAGCATGAAACATCTTCTTATAGGTGTCTACCAAGTTTTTCAAATAAAAGCCTTGGGGTCAAAATTGTCCCCGCCCCAGGGGGTCATTGATTTTCCCTATATGCATATAGTAAAAACTTAAAAAATTCTTCTTTTAAAGAACTCAAAGAGCTAGAGCTAAGATATTTAGCATCAAACATGTTCTAATAGGTGTCTACCAAGTTTGTTCAAATAAAAGCCCTGGGGTCAAAATTGGCCCCGCTCCGGGGGTCATTGATTTTCCTTATATGTGTATAGCAAAAACTTAAAAAAATCTTCTTTGAAAAAAACCCAAATAAGCTAGAGTTTAGATATTTAAGCATGAAACATCTTCTAGTGAGTGTCTACAAAGTTTGTTTCAAATAAAAGCCCTGGGTCAAAATTGGCCCCGCCCCGGGGTCATTGATTTCCTTATATGTGTATAGCAAAAACTTTAAAATCTTCTTTGAAAAAACCCAAACAGCTAGAGTTTAGATATTAAGCATGAAACATCTTCTAGTTAGTGTCTACAAAGTTTGTTCAAAATAAAAGCCCTGGGGTCAAAACTGGCCCCCTGCCCCAGGGTGTCATTGTTTTTTTTAACTATATGTGTATAGTTAAAAACTTTAAAAAAATCTTCTTTTAAAAAGCCCAATGAGCCTAGAGCTTAGATGTTTAGCATGAAAACATCTTCTTATGGTGTGTGTGTGGGGGGGGGGGGGGGGGGCTATATACAGGTGAGCGGACCTCAGGGCCATCATGGCCCTCTTGTGTTCATAGTAAATTTTTTATTTTTTTCCAACTGATTTGCAAACAAACAGACAAATAAAGTCATTAATGTTATGGGTGAATATTGATATATTTAGTTAATGTAAAGAAAATATTTTGCCATCATATTACATTGTTTAGTTATGTCATGTGATACAAATAGGGATATACATTGTATAAATGTCATACATTGTTTTAAATGATGTAATACAAGTCCTAAATGATGTTATAATACACTGAACAAACTTATTAAAATTCCTACCACATATTTTGATCAATGTGAAAAAATACCTTTAATATACCGTAATACACAAATCTAAAAAAAGATTACCCTTGAGGTTAATGTATTTTATCCAAAATATAGGATATTTTTAATATAATTACAAGGGTTTGTATGATGAGTTATGTTCAGTGTTTATTATATAAATGATGTAATATTTTATAATATATTGTGTAAATCAT